GAAGAACGTCATGATAGTTCTGAGTGGAACAAACATGGTAATTCTGAGACTAATATCATGGGAATTCTGAAATGAATTGCATGGTAGTTTGAATTTTAAACCATAAACTAATCGATTCCGGGAAATTGTTTGGATATGTTTCGATTTTCACAAATATTTTTTTCAATGTTTGGCATCTTGAATGTTTTACTTTAACGATCACGCACATTACATCCGGACTAGAGTAATCGATTTACAATAATAGAGTAATTAAGTCCCAAATAAAAGCTATTAAAAAAGATGGCAATTATGCAGCAAAAAGAGTAAGTTGCTCTGTTTCACTAATTGTTATTATCGTATGTTAAGGTTTATTGATTTTTCCCGGTTCATCCAACGAATTCGCGGATTTTTCTCGGCTACACACTAAATTTCAAATTTGAAAACCAGCCAAATGGATTGCTGGAACAAGATCAGCCCACGAGTATTGCCGAAAATCAGCTAACATTTTTTTACTTAAAACTACAGCAAACATGAATGATTTGCTGTAAATCAATGAAGATCTGTAAAAGTTTTAGCGTTACAAGCAATCAAGTAACTTTGAACAAAAGTAAAAATGGTTGTCTTTTAGACTCTTGCCGCGAATTTACCTCTAAAATTTTTGTTCCACTTGGTATGTTTCCCAGTAATACCCAAGTAACCATAGGCATGTTATTTCGCCGTTTTGATCTCTTTTTGATGTCTGTCGTTTTCCCAACTTTCTGGAAAGAGTCTTTCGTGTTCCTAATCCATAAGAAAGGCTGCACAAGGACTGTTTCAAGCTACCGTGGAGTAGCTTTGTTAAGTGCTTTTTGAGTTGATTATACTCGAAAAATTGATTCAAAGTTTGTTATATCTCGACGGATCAGCATGGCTTCATGCCAAAGCGTTCCACGACTACTAATTTAGTTGCGTTCACTTCGTTCATAATTCGTGAAATGGAACGTGGCCATCAATTAGATGCCATCTACACATACCTCTCTCCAGCATTTGAAAAAATGAACCATGACATTGCGTTGGCTAAATACGACAGGACAGCTGTTCACGATAGCCTGCTTGCTTGGCTCTACTCCTATCTGACTGGTCGAAATATGTCTGTCAAGATTGGAGACTATGTGTCTTCATACTTCCCCGTGACATCCGGCGTTCCCCAAGGTAGCCTTCTTGGGCCATTTCTGTTTCTGCTGTACATGAATGACGTCAATACCATCCTGAAATGTCTCAAAATATCGTATGCGGAGGACCTGAAACTCTACTTCGTGAGATACCATTTTCTTGCAGCAACACTTGGAAGTCTTCATTGAGCGGTATCGTATTAATCGCGTGTCACTGAATGTCTCGAAATGCTCTGTAATCTCCTTTGGCCGCAATCGTTCGCTTCTTCACCATGACTACACCGTGGCGGGCATAACTTTGAAACGTGAATTGACTATCAAGGATCTGGGAATACTGATTGACTCTAAGCTCAGCTTCAAGGATCATGTTGCATACGTAGTATCCAAAATTTCCTTACAACTCGGGTTCATGCTCCACTTCGCCAAAAAATCAAAGTTGTATACTGCCATTATACTGTTCGTTGGTGCGACCGGTTCTGGAGGAATCGACGGTCATGTGGTCTCTATACTACCAAAATGAAACCATGCGTATTGAAGCTATTCAACTGATATGCTTTAAGACATTTTCGCTGGAATGACCTTACAAATCTGCCTATTACGAAAGCCGTTGTATGCTTATCAACTTAGAGCTTTTGTAACGTAGCAATGGCGAGCTTCGTCGGTGATCTTCTTCAGGGAAACACTGCTGAGAAGTATCGACATCAATACCCGCCGCCGTAATCTACGATCGCATGCTTTTCTGAACAACCGCCTCTCACGAACCAACTACGGATACAATGAGCCCATGCTGAGGATGTGTCGCATCTTTAACAAATGCTACAATGTATTTGACTTCAATGTTTCCCGTTTTAGAAATAAGTGCAATTTCAAAAGTATTTTATGTTAATTTGTCTAGAATCAGTATACTGTCATTGGGGTGAATATTTTACCTGTTGACCATAACATAAATAAATAAACTGGATTAATTTTAATTAGAGATGAACTAGCCTAAGGCTAACAATCTCTTTAATAAAGCCTAAAAAAAACTGGATTAATTTTCAGAAAAAATATACTAATGTAAAAAATCACCAATTTTGGTCCAAAAATTAAAAAAAAAAACTGTTAACTTGAATAGCAAAAATATTTTTAAAATTTTTAAACTTTGTTTATTTGAAACCTTATTAAGGGGGGAAATAACAGTAAAATTTTTTTATCGATTTTTTATATTTTACTTTAAGTTTTTTTTAAATGCTACGTGTACGAGGAAGGAGTGATCTATGGCCCCGGTATCACCGATTAACCGTAAGTTCCAGAAATCATGTTTTTACACAACCCAAAACTTTAAACGCGTTTTTCTCGAAACGGTGTTTTCCAAATTGGTGGGAAAGATAACTCAAAAAGGTCTTATCCAAATGACTTGAAACCTGGCGCATCTTAAAGGAAATAGATTTTTACTCTATGTGAATCACTGATATTATGAAAAAATTAACAATAAATAATTTTCAGGTCTGCCTAAAGTGGAAAAAAACAGTGATATTCAGATATTTTTTTCTAAATTTTTAAATCGTTTTTTTTTGGGTTTTAGAGGTTCACATAGAACAAAAATCTTTTCTGAATAAGGTCCAATTGATAAAAGTAAGTTTTGTCAATTTTTCAGGTCTCTAGAACGCCGGCCAATTACCAATCCCCACCGGAGGCGACCTCCTTCCGATGTGACCCCAAGGAGCCTCAGAGGTCACACACCAATGAAAAAATCTCAAATGTAGAGGAAGATTTAAGCAATTTAATGCAAAAAAAAACCCCAAACGTTTGCGTTGTTTCAAAGCTCACAAAAAAAATTCCGAAAATCATCGAGTTTTTGACGTGTTACTTGTATTTCCCCCCTTAAACATACAAACTTTTCTGATGTTGTACACAATGGACACTGAAAGTTATTTATTTTTTATTTTTTTGCAATCCAGTTTACTACCACTTTGTCTCAGACGTCATTTTGTATAGATGAGCTATTATAGTTCTATGATTTATTGAAAAATATCGAATACGCTATTTTGAAAAATTATGCGCTTGTCAAAAAGGCCGAATTCTAGCACAAACTTGGTTTATTGCTCCTAGCGAAAAATAATGCAAAGTTTCATTGAATTCGGAGAGGGTAAAGTTAAATCAATTCGTCAGTTGGCGTGGATTTTTCTCAGAGTTCACTTCAAAAAATAATCATCGGGGAATCTTGAACGGACAATTTTTTTTTTCGAGGTAAATTTTGAAAATTTTTTTTCCTTGATTTGTTTTTCATCGATCTTGATTTCCGTGCTGAGCACCAATGCTACTGACGCCAGGGAGGCAGCTCCCACACCTGGTCCCTACCTATCGACCCATCAACTCATGAACCGAGGACCAACGGCTTTACTTCCCTTCCGAAGTAAGGCGTGATCAGAAATGTTATGCCTCAGAACATCCCGGCGGCGCCGACTGGGATTGATCCCAGACCTGCTGGGGAGATAGGTAATCACGCTTACCACTACACTACCGCTAAATTTTGAAAACTTGTATGGGAAAAGTGTTCCTGGATTTAGATACAGCTGGGGTGAATTAATGCATAAATTACAAATTGATATGTGCCTTAAAACTCTGTGAGGGTTGTCTTTGAACCCTAACCCTTCTCGCTGCAACAGTACTTTCGATCTGAGAATAAAGAAAAGGTTAATTTTAAAAGTTAAAAATCCTAAAAAAAAGGTCAAAGATGTTTGAATTTGCTATTGAGTAGCCTAAAGTTAGGAGAAATGTATCTATGTTGGCCTATGGAGCTAAAAATTAGGCCCATAGATAGAAAACTCCTGTTCATCATTTTTTTTAGATCAATGCGTCATCAGGACAAATGAATATTTTTGGTTGGTAGTAAAAAATGTAAAAAAATGCTTTCCTTCGAAATTTATGTACGGGCCCAATATTACGGACACTTAGGCCGACATTAGGTGTGATGCATATATTATGTCTCGCTGTTAGGGGAGGAGGGTGTTGTATGATTTTGTGACAAGCAATGTATTAGGTGTAGGAAAAACGTGACGAAAATGGGGGTAATTTTTCTTCAATTTAGCGAGACATAAACCATTAAAAGACTTTATATACATTGAAAAACCACGAACAGAATGACTTCGACAGACTAATATTTTCGTTAAAACTTTATTCTTGATAACAAAAATAGTTTTTTAATGTATAGTCTAAATATTTTTTACAGCAATGAATGTTTTTCAATTTTTTTTTTTTAATCAAGTACTGAGGATCCTACAGTACTAATTCGTCAGTATTGTGTTAAACAGAAATTAAAGCATTTGCACTATTTTTTAGTGTTGTGACCAAACATCAGTATTTTGATTTGGGGTTACTTTGATAATGCTCGATGAATGTAAAAAAAGGCGTGAAACTCAGACAATTTAGTTATTGAAATAAGAAACTTTGAAAGAGTATATAATCAGAAAACATCATAAGCAATAAGAATTCAACATTGAATTTGTGATGGCTATACTGGAAATACATTTCATTTGTGATGGTTTGAGTGTTTTTCCAAACAGCTGAAAAACACGAATGTTGTTTTTTAATATGTTTGTAAAATATGTAACACATAGTACATAAAAACTACATACGATATCAACGGAAATACCCTAAGCTACAATATAGATCCAAAGTTTATAATTCAGAAAAAGCGCAGAGAGTAAATTTAATCGTTATGTTATACTATTAAAGTTACCCGCATTATCAAAGATACCTCGTTTTACGGTACTACTTGTTCGATACCCATAATTTGTACAAAAGTGTCCCACACCGTGCGCCTCCATGAAAATTCGTTTGAAGAAGGAATCACTCAATGATGTAATGAACGTTTTTGCATCTTTCCAGACAACATCGTTCGTTATTGTTCACGGCGTCAAGTCACGTGCACACACGCTGAGTACATTATTTAATGCACGTAGCAATAGCAACAGCAACTTCAACAACGGCTGAATGGCGTCGTCGGCGGAGACAACTGCAGACCTACAGGACTGGGAATATGTCAAGCAAGGCATCGCATTATGGCTCAACAATCAACCAAAAGCGGCCGAGGAAAGTTTCAACAATCGCGAATCGAGCGTGCACATCGTGGCGGGACATACATTCATATCGTTCATGGTAAGTCCATATGTTTTCGATAAAGAGAGAAGCAACATCCTTTCAGAAAATAGTCGAGCTGTCAAGTGTGCATAATCGGCAGGGCGACGATGAAAATTTCATAAACGGAAATGCGTTGCAGGCAGACGACAGACGGAGTGACTGCATAAACAAACATGAAGCAAATTTGCATAGGTACGAAGTGCACTTCAATTACAGAAAAAAAATATTAAAAAAAAAACTGTGCACCTTGCTGTATGAAACTGTACTGCTATAAAGAATGAAGCGAATACATGTTCATTACAGAAGGACTAAATCGTGCTTAAAATATGTTTTCTGTTGTAACAGCAGCATCCTTCTGGCTGCACGGCCCCTTTATGGAGGTTTATATCTCACGCTTAATGTTTTAACGATACAGTCATATCTCGATATAACGAAACTTAATTTTTCATTTCGTTACGTTCTATCAAAGCTACGATATACCTAAACAATACAAAAAATTTAATTAGAAATCCAAAGGTGTTCATAAGTCACGAATGCCAATTTTTTCATTAAAATGTTGTGTACAAATTTGATTGAATGGAAAAATTCTCATAAATTATGAATAATTTTATAAATTCATACCAAGACTTAGTAGTCATTTACAGACTGAAAAAAATAGAATATACCCAGTCCTAAATTTGAACGTCCTCAGAACCAGTTTCCGAACAAATGTAGAGCATTAATTTTCATATTTTTTTAAACTACGTTATATCGAGGTTGACTTTTATCGAGATATGACTGTATTTAGACGGAGAAGGTCGAGGAGAAGTACTTATAGCACGTAGACTGTGGTATGTATGGTCTATGGCATATGTGACGATAAAAGCATTTTGAGTAGCTTAATTCTAAATGAGATCGTATCTGAAACGACACGGATATTAGTAGTGGTTATGATTCGACCCATTATCGTTTTTAATGTGCGATAAGGGATTATCGATTGAGATATTTAATATCTTGTCACAATAGCAAATGTTCAGAAATTATATGGAAAACAAACAAAATGATCAATTATTCCGGATGCCCAGGAGATATGCCCAAGCCTGGTACTAAAATTGACGTACAATGTGTTTGTGTATTTGTATATTGATTCCCACGATTTCTGCACAGGTCGATCCAGTGTTGGAAAAATATCAAAAAATCAAATTCCAATGACAATGATTTTCGTTTGATTTTCGTAGACAAAAATCAACAAGCAAACAACTGTGGATGATATTCTTCTTCTTATTCCTCGCATTTCAAGCTTATTGCGTGTCCCATATTAGATTACTGTGTGCTCTCAACTTAGTATTCTAGATGCAGTTAATTGAGAGCTTTCGATGCCTGTACCATTTTTACATTATTATAATTGTGTGACAAGTACAATCATACTCTATACCCGGAAAGTTGAAAAAAAATCCAACCCGAAAAATTACTAGACCGAACCGGGAGTCAAACCCAGCAACCTCCAGTATGGTCTTACTTTGTAGCTACACCTTAACCAACTGAGATAAGGGAAACCCACAAGCTGTTATATCGTAGTTCCTAATATCAAGGTGGTTCCAGGTCATTTGGCCGAATGCCGTTTGGCCGGATGTCATTTGGCCGAATTCCGAACAACAAAACTCCAAACAACTGCTCATGTTTGAAAGAAGGAAAAATCTCCTATTTTAGAAAATTCTGATCTGTCTTAATTTTATGACAAGCTGCGTTTACTGTGCAAAAAATAATAAGATCATCAAAACTTCAAAGCTCATGTTAAAAAGGGTGGCTAGAAATACCAATTACATAACCAAACGCCTATATCTTTAAAAGAATAATGAATCCATAGAAAATATAAAATTTCAGTTTATACAATATATAATATATAACAAAAAATCCCATATTTATAATGTAAAAAAACTAGAATTGTGGAACGTAAAAAAGTCCACAGGGCTGCCATTTAGGAATCTAGTAGTGTTCAAAAATTGGAAATCTGTTTTCAAGTATTCGGCCAAACGGTATTTGGCAAAATGGCATTCGGCCAAATGGCCGGATACTATCAAGGTAACAAAACTCATCAGCTACAATTCTTACCAAACTGTGGTGAGTTTGAGCTTCAACATTTTTACTTCGCACCCGAACGTGACACAAAACTCCCGTCACTGCGATTTAGCGCATTTAATACTTTTTTCAAAAATTCATAACTTTTGAAACTAAAAAAATGATAAAGGTAAGTATTGCTTTAGAAACGATTCTGATGCTGCTGTATTTACAGTATAATTGTGGGTCATCGAAAAGATTAAATAATGTATGTACACACTTTGCGAAAAAGAACCATAACCTCCCATTGGCAACACAGTACTTGCTCGACTATGGTATATGCTCCATTCTCTCTTGTACTCAGAGAAAATGGCAAAGGATTAACTCAAGGATTTTTTCCCCAATTTAGGAATTCATGTACATTTGAACATTTTGCAACTCTATGATCAAAATTCTCAAAAATTATAGCGAATACACACATTTTTTATGCTTAAATGATCCTTAAAGAAACACAAAACTTTTTTTTTCAGAAGGATCCTGAATTCTAAATCCCTTTTTTCTAGCAACTAAAAGCTTTAAGAGAAAGGTATAATAATATTTCAGTGACAAACGGTAATTTTTTGTTTTAAATTTGAGACTTCTAGGACTTTGAGCATTTCACAGAATATTCTTTGGCATAATTAGAAAAGATTGGTAGTTGGATTTTTCGATCATCTTTACCTTTCGCGTGACCTCAGACCTTAAAATGTTGACACAGAAGAGTTTAAGTCGAAGAGGATGTAGACTTCGTTGAACCTAGCCGACATGAACCGGACAGGATCATGAAGGCCGTACAAGGAGTTGCTGGGCTCAAGCAGGAGAAAGTTCCGTTGGCGAAGCAATCGTTCAAGAGCGTAAAGGTTAAGTTGAGCTAGTAACTCCGGTACGTCAGTTTCTCATGTTAGAATTGTGCCAACAAAAACCGCTTGGGCATCATTCCGTCTTTGCTCAAGCGTCTGCAGTCCCAATAATCTGCATCGATCTCCATATTTTAGTAGCTTCAACGGATCTCGCCACAGGAGCCGTCGTAGGGAGTATCTCACAAATTTCCTCTGAATTGCTTCGATTCTACTAGTCCAAGTTGTACTAATATACTGTAGAATATAATAACACTTTTGGAGGCAAACCAGCCCAAGGCTGAAAGCCTCCTTAATAAAGCAAAAAAAAAAAAAAAATATAATAACACTTCATGATTTTTAGTTAGTTAGCTAATTTTTGAATATTTCGACATGTCCACTCTTTTGATTTGTCTGTAATAACAGATAGGGTTCTTGATACATTATTGTGCCATTTGTATCCCTGAATGATTGTTTTCCGTTCTGTTGAAGTACGGACGTAATTTAGCACTTTTATACGAGAATAATGATGAATTAAAGATTGATACGCATACAAGCATGATAACAAGTTTTGTGATTTTTTCGTCATATACATAATAACATATTGATGATTTTTTATTTGATATTTATTACCAAAAATACCGATAACCGATTTTTGATTAGTTTTCAGTGATACCAAGATTTGTAGTTATTTTGATAATATTCATGCTACAGTATCCCCCTGCTAATCTGGCTTTCGTTAATCCGACGACTCGATAATCCGACATCACGGTTTCTAATTGAGCTTTTTTACATTGTTAGGTTGGTAACATTGATTTGTACGGGTTTGATAGTCGGATTATCGGATCAACCCCGCTAATCCAGCCACAAATTTGTCGGATTAGCGGGGGAATACTGTATCATGAAAAACTATATCAGAATACAAAATATGTTGTCACTTTATTTTCATTCTCTGCTCGGGTAATATGCCAAGTAATCTAATCAGAATTTCGCTGTTATCACCTTTCGCCGTGGCAACGTTTGATGATTGCACCATTCAAAATTCATTCTTTTTCCTCGTTTCCCAAACGCATTTTTACATTTTTCAGAACGTCGACGACGTTGACGTCGTTGACTGCTGAAAATCGTAAACAAGTTTAAATATGCAACATTCCCACTGCCCAGTATCGCTCGAAACAACAAAAAACTGTCCATGGATATGTGCATGTCTGCCTTGAGGTGATGGTGTAAATGATTCAGGAAATGTTAGTGTATTAATTTTTAACTTACCCAAAATTAATGCAATCCCCTCTGAGCATAACGACGTACCTCTATTGTATCGGCCCGAATTTTACGTACTTAGGCTACACATGGCTAACCGAAATATAGAGCCAAGGTTTCGACAAACGATTACATGAATTTTTTATGCGAATTGACTTGTTTTACATATTTTCTCTTTTCCCCAATACGTTTCAGAATGCCGTCATATCGTGGGAAACGGAAAAAATGAACGAAGCCCAAAGTTTGCTAAGGGAGTTGGAAAAGAAGTGTGCTGGTGACATTGGCTGGCTGAAGACCATGCGTACGAAGTTGTTCGGTAGCTACGAGCCTCGAAAGTCGCTCGCCGATGCACTAGAAGAGCAAATCATCTTGGCAGACACCCAACTGTGCTTGGCCATTCTGGTGTCCCTGAGCCAGGACATCGGTGGATTTGTCAAGGGCGGTTGGCTGCTACGAAAAGCGTGGAAAGTGTACCAACACACCTATAGTCAAATCTATCAGCTGTACAGCAAAACACTCTCTTGTGACAATATACCGCAAGCGCCATTGAAACACCAATTGCAGAGTTCAATACTGGAATTGGGGACGCCATCGTCCGTCGATTGGACGGTGCCCAACTCGGTGCTTCAAACACCCAATGCTATCGATGATAAACAGTTAAGTTGTTTCAATTATGCTTATTACGATTGGTCTAACTTTCAATTTCCGCAGAATTCACCTCACCATCAACGGCCGCCCATCTACGGAAGACCTTCGGCGGGAGTTATCCAAATCACGCACACAATTTTTTACGCAAACAAATGAGCTGGCCACCGGTGGTGAGACCAGTAGTAGCACAAGTACAACCACCGGAAGTTGTGGTAGTGTGAAAAGAAGCTTTACGACTCAGTTCGAAGGAGTTGACCTGACGGCGAACAGCGGAAATGGCAGTAGTATTACACCACAAAGTGCCTCAAATGTTTCCAGTAGCAATGAATCCATTACGGAACCGGTTGAACAAGCCGTAAGCCGTGAAGCCCTAAGGTTGGATATTGGAGGCGTGAATTCGAGGCGACGTTCGCGCAATGGTCTGAACGGGCTAAAAACGGTTAGACCACCTCCGGAACCGGCAATTAATGACATAACACAAGGAACCACAGCAGATGATAACAGGTATTGGATATTAATATGACGTTTGACAATGACCAGCTATAGGATTTAAACTGTTAACAGGCAAATCGCTCCGGAAGACGTTCGTCGGCTGATGGGTGCCGTTAGCTTCGGTTATGGCGTATTCCAATTGAGCATTTCCCTACTGCCACCGAGCTTGCTGAAATTGATCAGCTTTCTTGGATTCGAAGGCGATAGGACTATGGGCGTTGCTTGTTTGATGCATTCGAGAACCAGTGGAGACATGAGGGCACCCCTATCGACGTTGGCGTTGCTCTGGTACTACACCATCGTGACGCCATTCTTCGCCCTGGATGGGTCCAACTTGAAGTTTGAGATTTGCTCCGCACAGGAGTTGATAGAGGAATCAAGCGAGTTTGCCAAGTCATCACTGTTTCTGTTTTTCCGCGGACGGGTCGAAAGGTTGAAGGTAAGGATGAAAGCATCTACAATTGATACATTTTGTATGCTGATATTTCAAATTGTTATAGCTTATATCTATTTAAAAAAAAACATATTCAAATCTTGTCAGTACTTTCCAAACAATGTCTCCGTAAATTACTGAAACAACATCCTAAACATTTTTTATAGTATATTAATTTGTCCAAATCCTAAACTTAAATTGAATTGCATTGAAATTGGTGAATTTGTCAGAGTACAGAATTCATGAGATCCGGCTTGGAAAACTGTATATTTTTTATAAGATGAATTTTTTTCCCTATAACTTTGACTCAGGGTTCATTTCGATTTAAAGTGACGTTTCCGTGCTGCGATTTACTGAAAAATGTTGACAACGCCATATTGAAAAAACGCATGATTCAAAATGGCCGAATTTAAGCACAAATGTAAATGATTACCCATAACACACAATTATGCAAAGTTTCATAAGTTTCAAAGTTCGATTCCCGTCCGGTCTAGGAATTTTCTGGGTTGGAAAATTTCTCGACTTCCCTGAGCATATGATTGTACTTTCCACACAATTATACTAATGCAAAAATGGTACAGGCATAGAAAGCTCTCAATTAATAACTGTTGAAGTGCATCTATAACACAAAGATGATAGCACGCAATAAGCTAATATGCGATAAGCAATAAGCTTGAAATGCGAGTATGAAGAAAAAGTGTTGAATTCCAGGTTAATTTTGATGAGATTTTCAAAGAAATTTAGAGAAAAAATCCAAGGGAGTAATGGCTATCGAAATTTATAGTTATTTTGAGGAGATTTGTAAGGAAATTTTGAGGAACATTTCCAGTGCATTCTAAAGATTGTTTATTGGTAGGTCTAAGTAGGATCCTAATTGATTCTGAGGAGGATTCTAAAAAGAATTCAATGGAATTGTGATAATATTAAAAAAAATCTAAGGAATATTCCTAACGAAGTCTGACAATAGTTTGGATGGAAATTCTGAGAAGAATCTTAAGGTGATTCTGAGGAGAATTTCAATTCCAATGGAATTCTGAAGAGCATTCCAAGGAATTTCTGGGAGCATTTCAAATAAATTCTGTCGAACGAAAATTAAGGGAGGAATTCCAAGGAAGATCTGAATAGAATTTCTGCCAAGGTTTTTCTGAGGATAATTCCAAGGGAATTGTTAGAACTTCTTTAACAATTTAAATTCCAGTGATTTTTTATGAATTGACAAATTATGTATCTTGACGAAGTTATCTCTAACGGATTATTTTATATGGATAGCTGTCATAACGACTTTTTTAATAATTATTGTAGCACTGCAAAAACTATTTCTGTTCGCCACGAGGGTGATGATGGATTTTTAATACTTGTTTTAAAAGTAGATTAATTAAAAAAAGTAGTCTACAAAGGTTTGAGCCTCGCGCGCGTATTACGGATATAGAGAACTGAATTTAACACTTGATAAAAAAAAAAAATGCAATTTTGAAGCTTATTTGGAAGATACCTTGAGTTTGAGTTAGTAGTAAGTTTTCTGGCAAATGTTGGGGGTTCGTGAGCATTACTGACATTGCTGAAAATTATGATATCATCAGATTGTCGGGTTACTAGTGTAATAGGATGCTTTGTTGATTGTTCATTAACTCTTGATTGCGTGTAATACTTATGAATATTTTAGGTGGACAAAAAGGCGAACTAAGAGGTGGACGCCTGAGCTTTTCCACATTTATATCGCTGTGAAGCAACATTTATATCTGTAACTGAAACCAGTTCGATTTTGTTTGCCAACTTGGTTAAAATGTCATATTTAATTATCTTAAAGAAAAATCGTCCAGCTCAAACCTTTGTAGGGGTAAGAGGTGAGACCATCATCATCATTTTTTTTAGAAGACCTAATTCCATTTGAATCCTAGAAAAAAAATCCAAGGTAGTTCAAACTTGAATTCAAGGGAAATTCGGAGCTGAAACATAAAGGAACAATGAAGAAACATTCAGTGAATTCCATGGAGATTTATAAAGTAGTTATGAGTACAATTCCAAGAGAATACTGAAGAAAAATTAAATGAAAGTCTGATGAAAATTCGCAGAACTTCTGAGGAAAATTTCAAGGAAATTGAGTGGAATTGGAAATAAGGAGAATTCTCAGGGAATTGTGAGGATCTTCTTATGTAGATGTTAAACTAACATTCCTGTCCTTCTCCTGCGAGTGTAAGGACGTAGTCAGGTGTATAATGTGAGGCCTGTTTTGTAGATTGTATTCTATGAGAAAAAGTACTAATCCAAAGTATCTTTTTTGCGACATATTTCTTCAGAATAGCAGAGTTGATAATTATATAGGGTAAATTGCGGCTTCAGCAATAACTTTACCTATTATCGTCAGGAAAGTGCTCAAATTTGGTAAAGTAATACTTTGAACTATGATGTATTATCATGCAAAACATTACCCAGGTAGCAATACAACCTTTGTGCAACAAGTTTGCTACTAGAGGAGTACACAAGTACTTCATTTACATACTAAAAATACTGAAAATCCAGAATTTGGATTTGTTTTAAATACTATTCGATAGATACTTCGGAACATTGAAACAACCCTTCAAGAACTCAAACTAATTTAACTAATCATTCTTTAATAGGACAATTTGTTTAACCTTATGGACTTATTAAAAATGTACAATCTCCAGATCATTATCCCGAAAACGGAGAATTTTTCAAGATACTGAAGTATGAGAAGTTTATTAAAATTTTACAAGATGCCGGACTTCGAAATAACAAATATTGAGGAGTTAAAATAGGTCAAGTAACTGAGACTTCGAACATTTTATGAATCGTGGTACGTTGGAAACGTTCAAGATCTTGAACCCCAACAAATTTCCAAAAAATCAAGGGCATTGATTTTTTGTTCAAATGTTAGATTTAAAAACTGCAAAATTCCATACATTAATAAAAAATTAAATAGGGTTAACTACCCCATTTCCGGCCTATTAAGCACAACCCGCACTAAGTCTTTCTTAATCTAGCGCAGTTTAGCACCAAACGGAATGTTATAATTACTGATGACTTCCAAATTTATTTACCTTTCCGTACGTACCGTAAGATTTGATAAAGAGAAACCAATCGTTGAGATATTGTCAAAAGTCTAACACTACTTCTTGAAGCCAAACTCGGCTTCTAAACTCGGCCATTAAAACGCCAATGAATTCACTTCGGCTTATCGGATGCGGATAAAAATGATTCGGTCGGAACGCTTCTTTTGTTTATGTGAATTATAAGCGCAAGCCTTCATATCACGCGTTCTCATTGACTTCGTTCAGTAGCTTATTAACTATAGTATCGTACCAAACGCATAAATGACTTGTTAACGCCGAAATCATGGATTCATTTGAAGCTTACTGCTCGATAGGCCCAAAATGGGCGATTAGGCCGAAGTAGTTCTCTACCCTACCTACATTGATTTTTTTTTTCAAGATTTTAAGTCCAGGAAAAATGTTCCACAGAAGATTTCTCCTCCATTGAAATATAACTAATGCACTTCACGGGACTTTTATGGGCTTTAATGAAAGGTAGTACGCGGTTTTTGAGGAATTCTTCCTTGTAAAGCTTCGAGTCCATAGTCTTATTCGTCACGAACACTTTGGTCTTTGCTCCGTAGCTACATATTCCTTGCCAAATCATCAGTTTTTTTGGCAAATTTGTCCATAAAAGCAAACTTAAACTTTGCAGGAATATCTCCTCGTGCAACGGCGCCGGTGGTGTAGTGGTAAGCGTGATTACCTCTCACCCCAGCAGGCCTGGGTTCAATCCCAGTCGGCGCCGCCGGGATGTTCTGAGGCATAACATCTCTGATCACGCCTTCCTTCGGATGGGAAGTAAAGCCGTTGGTCCCCGGTTCATGAGTTGATGGGTCGATGGTAGGGTCCAGGTGTGGGAGCTGCCTTCCTGGCACGTCGGTTGCATTGGTGCTCAGCACGGAAAACAAGATCGACGGAAAAAACAAACCAAAGGAAAAAAAAAAAAAAAAAAAAATTCCTCTTGCCGTCGCCATGTAGAATTTTTGCTGTCCGAAATCCATTTTGACGTAGGTTTTATCGTCGATGAGCAGGCATCCTTGGTACTTCGTCAACACCTGCTGGTAAAATTTCCGAGCTCGAGTTTTGGTGACGAAACTTTGCTTCAACGTTCTGTTTGGTTGCTTGTTGGCTCGATAAGAACGATATCCTGCTCGCAAACGAATTCTTCGAACGGTACTGCCAGCAGCAGCGTATTTTTATGCGACTTCATTATCTGATAGTCCAGGGTTTGCTCTGACGGTTCTCAACACCTTCTGGTTCAGCTTGCGGTCATATGTTCCGCTACGACGCTTACCTTGAGGCACTCGATCCACGCTCTTTCGCTCCCTGAAACGTTTGAGCACATCATACACGGTCGATTTTGAGATTTTCAACGTTTTTGTGATTTTTATTGCGGACCACGTTGGATTATCAACGTGGGTGTGCAGAATTTTTTATTCTCCTCTCGGCTTCCATCTGGAATAATTTTTGACTCACTGCACGAAACACCGTGAAATTCATACCACAGAAAGTGAGCGCCTAGGTTAACAAACCGCTGTAAAATAATTCTTGCAGCGGTCACTTTCCGTGCCGCTGCAACACAATAAGTGATTCCGGATTCTAACTGGACAGAACTTTACACTGCAAGTTCACCTGTAAAACGAAGCTTATTTCATGGCTGGTTTTGCTTAGTTCATATTACTCAGCATTTTAAGTCAACAGGAGATTATATCCAATTTGTGAAAGGCAAAAAAGTCAATGTTCAGAACAGCGTTGGAAAAGTTCATGATATTTCGCGAAGTTCACCAAGGGAAAAGTTCGTGAGTCATAGTGAGTTTTGGTGAACTTTTCCAACCCTGATTCAGGATTTTCTCGATACTATAGTTTCAATAGATTTGCCTGAATACCATGATATTTAATCTAAGCTGATCCCTTTACTTATTTCCAATTGTTTGAAAACATGCAGAAGTTGAAAATTAAGAAAAGACGACAATAGCAAATAGCGAAATTGAGATTTTGCTAGTTTTTGTTTTGTTTTGATTAGATAATTGATAAGAACTAAATAAATGAACCCAGAAAATACGTATTTGTCTCATTATCATAAAGTTATTTTCCTTCTACGCCTTCGCCAGACCTAGCACATAACCTTTCCAACAATTATGCTTTGCGCTTTAATTTCAGTCCAACATCAAGGAAGCCATCCTGGCATATGAGTTTGCCTATCGATCGTCGGCTCAACGAGAAATCAAGCTACTGTGCTTGCATGAAATCGGATGGTGCAGACTGATTCAGTTAGACTACGGTACAGCGATGAACAATTTCAAAGACTTACGGTAAGTCATAATTCGTTGAGTGCAGACAGACATTGCACTAACATTCCTTACTTTCCAGACGATGCAGCCAATTTTCCAAGAGCTTTTACGCCTACCTGACGGTCATATGTCAGGGATCGCATGGCTACTTTGACGAACTGATCAAGTGGCGATCGGAAATCTCTGAGCTACTCAGTCGATCCAGCCAGAAAGAGTCACAGATAGAGAAGTACATCCTTCGGAGGTGCCAAAAATTGCCGAAAGGCGAAACGGAACAGGAAAAGTTCGATTGCAGCTATTGGAGACTGTTAGTGTATGAGATGCTGTTTATGTGGAATGCTTTGAGTAGTTGCAGCGAACTGTCCCTGATGGCGATAATAGAGGATTGCAGCAAATCGAACGAAGAGCTGAATGAACCCTCGCTGGGCCTGGGACGTCTCATTTTGGGTGCGAGTTTGGTTTCTGTGAAACGCTACGAAGAAGCAATCGATGCCTATCGAACGTGTATCGCGATGCGAGAAGGCGAACAGCTACAGCAGGATGTGCACATTTCCGCTTTCGCCCATTACGAACTAGCAATGTTGTTGCTCCGACAGCAGCAAAGTGAGGCAAAAACGGAGGCCAAACAGTTGCTTCTACACGTGCAACAAAACTACCGGAGTTTTGATTTCGATAATCGCATTAACGTCCGAATACATTCGATTCTGCGGAAGCTTAATTGAGGATGAGACACGCTTAGCAGCTCATTATGCGGGGTTTATTTGCTTGTTTATTATACAGAGAATGGGATTAAATGCTGGGTGGAAAATTAAACATTGATACTCATTGAATGATAAAAACAAAACTGTGAAGCTTATACGACTTGTACTATCCTTGTCGTATTTAACCAATGTATCAATTTATGTTGTAAAAGTAAAATGATTAATCCATTAGTTTTCACGTGATTCATTGGTGCCTTATTTGACTGGAAAATAACCATTCGATCGTAGCTGTATTTTATTCGGGAAGCACCCGTTAACACATTCGGCAATACCTAACCATCCTAGTATGCAAGTATGCAGAGCAGTTTAAATACAAACGAAAACAAAGCGATCGTGGTTTCGTATAAATGTAAAATTTGTATGGTTTAACTATATTGTTACACACTGGAACAAACAAAGACAAATAAGAAGCAAAATGATACACGTTCAATAATGTGATAATATGAATTGAAATATAATTTAAATACCACAATAAACTGCACAACGCTTTTTTTTACTTTATTGGTGACATTAAAGATTTTGACTTGGTGTAAGGTTGGATGTTATGGGCTAGATGATGTGTCTGTTTAATGCAACTACATGAAATGTTATACATTTTATATGCCTCCCTATTTAAAATTTGCTCACTACCGTTGCCCCATACAAGTTAGTTAGTTAAAAAAGTTAGATAGTTATATACAAGGCAAATTAAACAAACACGTGTTACAATAGTTTATACATTTACAATGTGCTATGCGAAAACCCCACATTAATTTGGAAATTAAAATTTAATAAGAAATCTGGGCCTGAACATTTTCAGCTAGTGTTTTAATGTTTGGAGCAGTGGTTGAAAAAGTACACCGACGTCTAGGGGCCCTTCAATAATTACGTAAGCATTGAGGGTAGGTGGGGTAAGGGGGTGTTAGTAATTTTCTTACGTTTTCTTACATGGAATAAGGGGGTTTTCGTAATTATCTTACGGTGGGTCAAGTTTGTATGGCGAATCACAACCTCTTACTTCCCAATGCTCATTTGATCTGTATTGAGATCTAAAACAACTGTGATAAATTGGAACGAATTTGGTTAAGATCTGGATTTGTAGGAGAAGCTTAAATTTTGTATGGGGAAATGTATGGGAAAAATATTGTATCTTCTTTTATTTCATACATCATCTTGAATTAGGTGTTATTGAAGGCAAAGGTGTTATATCATAGACAGAAGATAATCTCCAAAATCGCTGTTGTAGTTATCGTGATCATTGTTGGTTGGACCATTCGTACATTTAAAATAAATCATCAAAAGCAGAAACTATATGAATTATCGCGTAGCTCTGTCGTTCACTACATTTCATTTTCATTCCTTTATTTAACGTTGGTCTCTGTTCCACAATCTAGTTCCAATCACCGACGGACATCGATTGCCATCCATTGACGGCAATCAAATGTGCAGGAAGGCAGCTTCCACACCTGCGTAGGATATCGCACCCATTCAACACACATGGGCCGGGAATTGAACCCAGACCCATTGGGGTGAGAAAGCAGTCACGCTTACCACTACACCAAGGGCGTCGGCTGTCGTTCACTACATACCAAGCAACAAATAAGTTGAAATGTTTAAATCTCTATCGCACTGGATCTATTTCTATCCTCTTGAAATATATTTGGCATCTTCCGTTTCTGTTATTTCATATCATTCTTATTCAGAAACGATCGTCAGTTATACTCGGTTTCACTCTGATGTAAGGGGCTTGGTTGTCTAGTCCAACCGTTTTTGCTTACTGAGCAGAAAATCATGGGTTCAGTTCCATGCTTCTTTACAATAAAGAATTAATAGGATTGGTTCGTTTTCTCATACTCCGGATTCGTGTATTTATTAAACTACTATTATATCAAAACAATGATCACATCACTTATCAACATGAATCCTGATCCAACGAACCCCACCCTACTAACAAAACCTCTCTTCTGTGACCTTTGTGGGGACGCAGAGGTAAACACGGTCCACATAACAACAAAGGTCACTTTAACTCTCCTTTCTATCTCCCACCTGATTGCAAGGACGTGGTCGGCGTCGTTATTGATCTTGAATATAAGAAGTCACTGCAAGTTGTACAATGAGATTGTTCGGTCATTCCCAACCCAATCAATTGATTCATTGTGCAATTTCATTGATTCTGATCAATCACGGAGTAGCATACATAGGGATTATCCTTTTCGGCTGGTTGACAGAATCGAACCCTTGCGCCCACCACCGTCAACTCAAAATAGTGATCCACCAAGCGATTGCGAAATTGAACTGTTTCTCGATGGACTGAATAAAGATCCAAACAATTTATCCATGATTAACAATGGAAATTCACTTTACTTGCAGAATTCATGATTTTTCGGTTACTGTTTTTTTTACGCGATAATTACAAGACATAGTCCATGCGTATGCTGGTTTGAGTTTGATGTTTGTCATTTTGTTTTGTCTCGATTTTGGCAATTGTATTGTTTACTACTCATTTTGTGTATATTTACCTTGATATACACTGAACAAATTAAACGTCGTTATTAAAACTTGAAGTGAATTTTAATCGAATCCATGTATAAAAATTGATTAAAAATAAAATTATTAAATTCTATTCGTTGTATAGTAATATTTCTGAGTGTTTTGCTGTAAACGTCTTATTGAAAATTTAATTCAAGTTCATCTGTCGTTGAACTAACGATTATTGTTTATTTATTTTGTTTAAAACATTTTACGCCATTCGTGACTTTTACGGAGTGAGATTTTAACTCAAGTTTTTCAGTGTAAAGCAGGGGTGCTATAAACCATTTACGTCAGGCCCATATTCAGTTTAATATTATGAATGCAAAATCAGTAATCAAATTGATTTCATTCAAAGCAGAATTAGTTTTACGTTTAATTCCACAGTGTAAAATTTAGTTCTCATTTTTGCTGTGCGCGCGTAAATCCAAAATGAGATCAGTAATCAGTAGTAATCAGTGATGTCATAACAGCAAATTTTGATTTCAATTTGATATCCAACTTTGCTCGGGAATGGTTATTGGTTTAAGCATCATTGGTTATATTTGTTTGAATAGATGCGATTTGATGCGTCGTTTTATGTGGTTATGATCGATAGCTTATTTGATCATATGAAACCATAGTCCAGAATATCCGGAACCAGTCCTACGGTGGCTATGATTGGCTATATTCACGGTGTTTCTGGTAGAATAACATTATTATAAAAAAAATCAGTATCGCTGAAACACCAACCAAACTAAATCTTAGGTGCGCCTCTTTCATTTGAGAGTAGTTTCAAAACGATCTATCGGGGATCATATTTCCATACATTTTTTGGGCTTAAAGGGGCATGTAAATCTAGTGATTTAGACTAGAAAATTCGAAAAAAATAATATTAAAACATTTGCATACTAGTTCCATATGAAAGGGGTGAGCCTAAGCCTTCGTTTGGTGAGTGTTTCAGCGATACTAATTTTGTTTTTTTGATAAGGTTTTCTTGTAGGAACACCGTGTTGTTTTGAGCGCCATTAATCATATTTTTTTCTATTAGATGTGATGTGCTATGTCGCTAGATATAGTTCTTCTTCTTCTTCCTCCTCGCATTTCTACAGTTATTAATTGAGAGCTTTCGATGCCTGTACCATTTTTGCATTAGTATAATTGTGTGGCAAGTACAATCATAGCCCAGGGAAGTCGAGAAATTTTCCAACCCGAAAAATTCCTAGACTGGACCGGGAATCGAACCCAGCCACCTCCAGCATGGTCTTGCTTTGTAGCTGTGCCTTTACCGACTGAGCTAAGCGAGGTCTCATATGGTTATGGTTATCATAATATGATAGATAACGAATTTGAGCATATGGAACCATATTCCGCAATATCCGGAACCGATTGATAACATTCTTTCCATTTACTCAGCGTGCACGCAGTTAACCACACCAAAACCAAAATTTCCTGCATCGTAGATAGTCTTATGAGTTGTTAAAATTGGGAATCTCATCATATCACTATTTATATCAGAAATTTGAGGGGCTATACAACAAGGGGTATAGGGGTAACAGTTTGCGAGTGTTTTGAATTGGGTTCTTTAGGGGTATTGTGTTTATTACATATTCGTAATCTTCATTACAAATGGAAACTAAATCCTTCATTCTTCAATTTTGAAGTACTGGAACTATTTTAAATAAGTGCAGGTAGTTTTGTGTCAAAGAGCGATGTAATATTTTGCTTTATATCTTAATTAAAAAATCGAGATGGAAGTCTGTGGGATAACAAAAATACAAGAAAACGAAGCCCTTTCAGATGTTATATAGTAACCGATATTTTTTTTCAGTAAGAACGTAAAATGCTTCGGTTTAGCAGTATACGACTGAGATGGTGCAAACTTACCAAAATTAATATAGACGGCGGTACCTAAAAATGTGATGTGTTAAGATATAAGTATCAGGGTGGTTCAAAATATTGATTTTGTTCTAGCACACTCAATCGATTCTAAATCAGGTCCAAATAATTCTCAGAAGTTTGAGCTCATTTGGTTGCGAGCTCATACCATAAAGTTTACATAGGAATTACTACGGGAAAAGTGAAATTTTTGTTCTCTTCATCCTAGCCTGTTTCCATAATGAGTTACGAGTAAGCTTACTATCCCAAGTAACAATGTAAGTTTTATCGAGGTTTTAAAGCATTCTACAAGTCTAAATAGAACCCTCATAAAATCAAAATTGTTACATGGGATCTGAGCTTAGGTGAAATTTTATCTGCTACAACTTTGCTGAAAGCCACTTTTTGATTGAACTTCAAGATAATTTGTTATTAACTGATTTCGAAGCCGATAACGTGCTGATATTGCCATTCGACTGCTTTCAGGGCAACACTGCATCTTGCACTAGTGACATAGAAGCCTGGATTTTTCGCTCTATTCTTTGCGCCAAGTACACCAGTGTTGCCGGCTGAGCAGTTCGTAGAGCATGTCAGAAGAATATGATATCCACAATTAATTAAGGTGAAAGTGACCTAGTGAGTAAATAAACATTTCAAAAATAGTTTTCTCTAAGACATTACTTCAGATTGGAAAAAGCTCTCGTCATTTTGTGCGAAATAATAAAATAAAAACATCGACGAGAACTTTTTGCAATCTGAAGGGATGTCTCAGAGAAAATCATAGTTGAAATTTTTATTTACTCATTAAGTGACTTTCACTTTAATAGCTAATTATCCTGACGTTCAATCGAAAAGTGGTCTTGAGCAAAGTTGTAGCTGACAACATTTCCTATAAGTACATATAGCAAGGTTATTTGGACCTCTCTTAGCTTAGTCAGTAAAGGCACAGCTACAAAACAAGACCATGCTGGAGGTGGCTGGGTTCAATTCCCGGTCCGGTCTAGGAATTTTTCGGATTGGAAAATTTCTCGACTTCCCTGGGCATAGAGTATGATTGTACTTGCCACACAATTATACTAATGCAAAAATGGTACAGGCATCGAAAGCTCTCAATTAATAACTATGGAAGTGCATCTAGAACACTAAGTTGAGAGCACGCAATAAGCTAATATGCCATAAGCAATAAGCTTGAAATGCGAGGAAGAAGAAAGAAGAAGCAAGGTTGTTTATAAATCATTATAGTGAAAGGCTAGGACGAGGTGAACAAAAAGTTCACTTTTTCAAAGTAATTCTCATTTAAACTTCAAAGGGACTCAGGGCTGATAATAAAGTAAAAGAAGAAGAAGAAACTTCAAAGAGTCAGTGCATAGAATGATCAGGACCTAATTTAGAATCGATATTCTGTACTTGTACTCAGGGGACCATAAAATAATCATACATGGCAACAAATTTCTGTCCTAGAAAGTCGTTTAGCACAGTGTTGTATGTAACAGATCTGGCCAGTTTGCTAAATTGATTTACGTCATTTTGTCATCGCAGTTTATTGACAGTGAACATTTCTCATTATTTTCCATCGAAGAACAACACAGACGAGCATATGATTTAATATTTAGTAGATATTTCTTTAGCATTAAGATAGTTTCATTATAATGTACATCATATTCCGACTAGAATGTCCATATCTCTTATTTTTTGTGTTTGCTTTTCCACTTGAATCGTTCTATCGTGACATGATTTCAATTTCATGCTCACACTATCTCCATATAACGAGAACTGGTATAACAAAACTGAACTGCTGTAGCCTAGCTTGTTTTTGATTTGGTGCCATTAGGGTATAAATAACAAAATTAGGTACTCGGGAAAAATAATCTAATTATGTTTCGTAAGATCTAGTAGCAATCACATTTCTTTCTGTACGGTAACGCAAAAAGTTGCACTAATTCTATATAAGTAGCAAATTCTTGCCCTGTCTGTGTTATAAACAATCATCACGCATATTGAACTTAAGCTCGGCAGCGACTTGCTAAAGCTACTTTTAGTAGTAAGTGATACTATCATCGTATTTTGGATTTACTATTAAGTCCTTGAATGGTAATTCTTTTAGGTTGATTATTTGCAAGATGGCACAAGTTGAGTTTGTTTTTCATGTGAAATTCTATCTAAAGATTTTTTTCGTTCACTCAAAAGATGAACTGAAAGGTTGTGCTTTTCGTCCTTTTCGTCGCTAAAGGATTTTTTTTTGATACTTTGTGACTTTTGTTACAAAACAAGCACGATGTAGGCGTAAAGATTTCATTAGCTATAGAAAGATTACGTAAGTGGGGAAAAATGGGAGGACGTTTTGATACTTAGACTTCTTACGAGTTTATACAAAGTTGGTCGATAACGTGCTTGCACCTTAAACGCTACAATGAGATCTCTTTTTTTGTTCTCCAATGATTGCACCATTGGACAGGTTGATCCGACTGCTACCCTCTACCGTTTGCTTCGGTTATTCAACTGATCACATGTCACGTATACAGTGGTGGACATTGGTATGGTCTTTTCGTTTTTCTAAATTTTAAATCAATTATCATGATCTGTTAGTAGTCAGTAGTTAGTCGAAAAATTTGGAATCACTGCTTTTTGCTTTTTTTTACACGCAAAAATGTTGGTGCGATATTTGTATAAATTCATTTACCGTAGTATACTGCGTGTTAGTGTTAACTGCGTGTACCAAAATTCGTAATGTTTTAATACAATGTCAAATTTTTGTTCAAACAAATGCTTAACTCTGAAGTTTTTCGAGACCCTCTCAAAATGAATACATTCCCAATAGTATAACATAATTTTAGAGCTTTAGATGCAGACGCTTTCTGAAAATATTTGCATGATTTGCAAATAAATTTTAATTGGGCGACGTTCTTGAGAGCGTTGTTGTAAATAACTTGGTGGATTTTCCCAAAAATCTGTCAAATATGACCAATACCTATATATTTGTTTAATATCAAATATTTTTCGAGTGTGGCTTTTAAAGTCTTGGCCATTACATAAGTAACCGGCGATTCCGTACCTGTTACAAATGACAGGCATCATACAGTAATTGATCAACACCAAACAACGATCGAAGTCCAATACACCAAGCAATTGAACATCCAACAACGAACGACATTGTCATCAATATCATGCACAGCGATCGAGCTATCAACATAAACATCCGAACTACAACATCACCAAATAAACCGGAGGGCCATCGAATCATCGATCGGACCGTGACGTAGAAATGGAACATGCTGATTCATCAAAATAGGGTAAAGCGTAGCAGCTAAGAATAATTCGGTTTGATTTAATAAAGTCATGTTGTTTTAGACAGCGATTCACTATGGATCATTTCTGACTGAAGAGTCCTATTAATAAAATCTATAATAATAAATCTTACTTAACTCATATATTAGTGATCTTGAAAAATGCTTGAAAATTCATAAATTTACAGAATGAAATATGACCATTGATAACCGTACAATTCATACAAACCAAAAAATTAAAGGATTTGGGATTAACAATCCATTCTCAGTGTGCAAATTCCGGCGAATTAATACTTTTAAAAAATAATAACGGCGCCGGCCACGTCCTTAAGATCATCGGGAAAAGGAAGGATTGTTAGTTCGACATCCGTTGTTACTATACTAGAGACCGAGTATACCTCAGCATCTCCACGTTTGTCACAGAAAGGACATTAGATCTGACTTGACTTTGGGTAGTGATGCGATTTTTTAAAGCATGGTAAGCAAATGATGGAAGGACGCGATCCTACTCAGTAATGTAAAGGGGCTTAGGATAGAACCCACGATTGCTTACTGAGCTTCTGCAAAAACGGTCGCCGCTAGGTCACCGTACCCCTTACATCACAACAAACAACTGCGACCTACAATCGTTTAAACCCGGCGACACGAAGCCATTCAAATGATATGACGTCCCCGTAAACAAAATTTTCGAACCAGGATCAAGAACACATCAGATTTTTCCTAAGATATCAATCTCCGTACCGGTTCAAATTCGATCGCTCAATCCCGGTGAGTTGAAGCTATTCAAATTGAATAAAATCTCCAGCAGGACTTATCTATAGAGATTTTCACGTTCGGTTGTATTGGTGCGATATGTGAGAGAGTGTTAGAGAAAATCCGAGGAAAATACATAACAAATCGCTGTTAAACTCATTTTGATAGATCAAATTTCATACATTTTTTAGGTTACCCAGAGGAAAATAATATACAACTTTGCACGGCGATGCACCCGCTAGTGTGCGTGTGTTAAACGGCACTAATCTCTACGGTTTTGAACCCACCGGCGACTGTATGGGGTCAACCATTCCATTTTGCAGAAGCTACAAAAAACCTAAGAGGAAGAGGAGACAACTGGCTTCTTACTCTTTTATCTCTATCTCTATCTCTATCTTACGCACTTAAAATTGGCCAATCACGAGCTGGTTTGCGTTTGACAGAAAAGTGGTTCGTTTTCGCCCCCGTATTGTCTCCTCTTCTCTTAGCAAAAAACCAGGATTAAGTAGTCAACTTTTCCAAACACAACGAAATACAATTCTTCTTCAACATTTCAAAAGGGCGAAACGGCATTTGTTCGAACAGATACACAAAAGCCATTCAAGAATGATGGTCGAGAAGATATTTTAAATTCTGTTAAGACAATTTTTCCCGCAGACATTTTGAAGACATTTCACTTTCATTTATTTATTTTATTTAAGCAAACAACAACATTTTTGCTGTAGAAATTAATATTTTGACTTCATATTTTAAGCTCATTCATGGAAATCATGACCAAAAAACTGTAACCATCGTCAGTTTTGATCGACCTGAGCATTTTTGAGCATAAGGAGCCGGAGTCGGAGTCGAATAAAAAGCACCGAGTCCGAATGAATTTTTAACAAGAGCTTCTTGAAATCTGTTCCACGTTCAACTTTTCTGGCTCATAATCAATTTGATTTGGTCTGAACAATGAAATTACCTGCACCGTCTACATCCAACTTTACTGTTGATTTAGATCTTAGAAATATGTGATGATTTCCGTTCGAACTTGTGCCAATTTTCCATTAAAATTGATGACCGTTATCTATAATTACCAACAATATTTGTTCAAATATTTGTCCATCTGTATTACAAGTGAGATAAATTAGGCTAAAAGATTTTTTTTAAATTTCGATAGAAGCTGTTTGGTTTTAATTTAAAATCAATTTAATTCGAAGCTGTGGCCAGGAATTTGATCGAAAACTACCAGGAGCGGATGAACCGGGATTTTCGTTTAGAGCGTGAAGGATCGAATCGCAACGTGCTTTCTCCGGTGAAGCCATGATGTAGTTAAAGAAATGAACTTATACTATTATTATATACACTTTAGCTTGATTCAGCAAAATTTTTAAAAAAATTACTCAAAAGCATTTGGAATTGTTCAAACTCAGTATTTTCATCCAGCAAATATCTTCTTGTTCCATTAGTAAACATGGATCTTTCACATTTATTTAAATTTGAAAAATTAGCCAAGAAATTTTAAAAACATCAGTAAGACGCAAGGAATCAAAACAGAGAGATCAAGCAACAATAAAGACAAAACGCTTCTTACGACTACTACGATAAAGCAGCGTTGCCAGATTGTTTTGCCAGCTTATCGCTATCAAAGGTTTTAAAAATCGGTTTTGATCGGTTTTTAAAACATATAGGGGAAATGACGGCTTCGGCATGACAGACTATTTTCGGCAACCCAAATTGAAACACTATTTTCACTGGATTTTCTTACGAAAACACTTCGCTGAATGCATGCAATCGATTCTTTATGCTTTCAGCTTCAATTTGACTATATTTTTACCACTGAGAAAAAGCAATCTAGCAGGGTTTTCTTGAAATGAAACACACGCTCTACAAATTGTAGCTGATTTCGAGTTGCCGATAATAGAACAGCAGATTTACATGCAGTTCAAATGGAACGGTTGCCGAAGAAAAACTGGTTGCCGACAATACTCGCTCTCACTAGAGAAGATTGGAGCTTTGTAAAAGCGTTTCAAAACAGTTTTTGACAATTCTTTCGACTGAAATTGTTAGAGCAGCTGGCAGCAAAAGATTGTAAACAAACCAATACTGCATATGTTTGCGTTCCTTAGAGAAAAAGGCTATAGAAAGAAGGTCGCTGCTTAGGTTGCGAGAATACGTAAATTCCCCTATTAATTAATTTTATATTTTTGCTACTTTTGAAGGCGAAAATTTAAACTTTCGGACTAAGAACGGAAAATTTACATCCAACAGAAGTAGGAAGGAATGTTTGAACTAGCTTCTGAAGGAATCTGAAAAAAATCCTGAGAACGAAGAAAGAAGCTTTTCTGGAGGAAGTTTGAAGAAAGTTTAATAAAAATTGGAAAAACATCCTAGAAACTTTCATGAAAAATATTGTAGAAAATATAAACAAACTTTTGGAAGAAATTGGAAGACACTAGACGAAACCCGGAAGGTTTCGGAAGAAAATTCTAGAAGTGGCCATTTCTATGGGAAGTCAGAAGCAGCTCGGAAAAATCTTCCTTCTATCGGAAAAAAAACCTCCGGAGGAATCTTATAGAAAATATTTCAGAGGAAGACAAAATCCGTCTGGAAGAATTCTATAGATACTTCCGGTAAAAGTTTAAAAGAACGTCCTGGAGAAGACGGAAGAAACTTCCTAAGGTTCCTGGAAGATAACTTCTGGAGAAAGTTGGAAGCCAGAGGGTTTACGGGGCAGTCGATAGAAACTTCTAGGAGAAGCTTCCAAGGGAAGTCGAAATAACTTTCCGGGAGGAATCGGAAAATAACTTTAGGGGTACGGAAAATTTGATTGAAATTTGGAAGAAAATTCCAGAGGAAATTTTGAAGAAACTTCCAAGAGAAGAGATTTAATAAACTTCAGACAGTTAAAACATAAACATTTGGATGAACCTATTTGATCCACTGTTTCAAAAACAGCGAGAAAATGGAAACACTAGTCGAAAGAATATCAAGCATAAGAAATTGTTAAAGGTGAATAATTTCCTTCAAGGCTCTGAAAATTTAAAACATCCAAAAAAATAAAAGTCTCTCACAATAGTTGACAGTTGAGTTTAGACAATTATCATTTTGGGCCTTATTACGGGTGTCACTTTACGGTGAAAACGAAGTGAAGTGACCAGTTGTCACTCACGGTGAAGTGATTGCCGTGTAAATCAAATGGGAATCACTGCACAGTGAGTGTTAAGTTTTTTTTTTTCTTTATTGTTGTGATTTTTAGCCGTAGGCTAGTTCATCACATTTGATAGTAGAAGGTCAGGCTTAGGGCCTGCCTCTAAGGAAACGTTTCAGTCTAACATTAACGTAACGTAAAACCGGCTCTGGAACAACATTTAAAAAAAAACTTAATGTAAAATGGGAGTTACATCGGGACTGTGGTGAGGAATGGATGCGCGAAAAAGGTAGAGCTCCACCGTAAGAGACAGTGCCCCAGTCCGGCAGAGATACCCCGAAGGCAGGAAAATAGGAAGGTGGAAGAACACGGACAGCGCAGCCAACGACGAGAGTGCTAGATTTGGTTGTACAGGTGGGCGTCCTTCAAGAAAGCAATCAGCGCAGCCAGCGTCGAGGGGTCGTTGCCAAGTAGCTCCCTGATGTTCTCTGGGAGTCGGTGTTGTTCGCGTAGCCTTTGAAACTCTGGGCAGACACACAGCACGTGTTCCACCGAGGCAGGGATACTGCAGATTGGACAAACCTTGTGGAAGGGTGTCCCACCAAAATTGTGGGAAATCCTCGCATGGCCGGTCCGGAGTCTTGTAATGATCCGTTGGTCCTTGGACTTGTGGCTGTCTAGCCAGGGTCGTACGGTTTCTTTGATTTTTCTCAGGAAAGTGGTCCGCGACTGAAACCATCGCTCCTGCCAGGCTTCCATGATAATATTCGCGATCCAACGCTTGACGTCTAGGAGTGGTACGTTCCTGGTGAAGCGGGGACCAGATGGACCGGATCCCGCCAGCCTGTCCGCAGCCTCATTTCCAGGAACACCGCAGTGCCCGGGAATCCACGTAAAAACGGTTGAGGGTGGGGCATATCGTGTAATGGCTTGTATCCAGGGGTGGCGCGGGGCTTCGGCTTCCAGCGCCTGGATGACGCTGTGTGAGTCCGTTAGCACAAGGATCGGTTGATCTGCAGGAGTGATGGCTGCATCAAGAATAGCAGCGGCTTCTGCGGAAAAAACGGAACACTCCTCCGGTAGACTTTGACTTGTTGCGGAGTTTGGTCCTGCCACTCCGAGTCCCACTCCAGCCCGTGATCGCGATCCGTCCGTAAAGCGGTGAGTGTTAAGTTGTCACTTCACCGTGAAGTGACATCGGTAATAAAAGCCTTTGATTATTGAAAAAAATCAATATAAATCGGGCTAACATCATAAAAATCGGTGTTCTGAGGAACCTTATCTGTATATCAAGTTCTAAATAAATCGGTATATCCGGCAAAGCTGTGATAAAGTCTTTCTGTAATAGACTTCTCTGGCGTTTGACTAAAGGCTTGTGTGTGTGTGTGCAAGAATTTAGTACACACTTTGAAATTATCGCCGACTCCGGTAATTTTTACAGAAATGTCAGCTGTTATGATTTCGGTAAAATATTACCGAAAGCGACAATAATTTCTGAGTGTGTAAATTATAACTATCAGCACAAGAAAACCGTGTACGACCGTACCTAACTTATACTTATAAATTACCCAAAGTTCTTCACTAATACTGCATTTAGACAAAATTTCTAGCAATCTTTGTTGTAACAATTGCGGTTGACGACATAACTTGATCGGAATGATGAAATGACAGCCCTGATTTAAATTTAACTTTTTTCATCCGCCGTTCCGATCAAGTTCCAGACGGAGTTTTTCAAATGCATGAGGATATTGTCCTTATTACTTGCCCTTATTGACAATGCATTATGATTTGGCTCGTTGATCGTTTGTTGTTTTGTAATTTTGAGATATTTTTGATTCCTTGGTAAGAAGTATGTGAATAAGTTAACTCTTCAGTGCATCTCTTTAAAAATATCTGAAATATCTTCAAAATCAAGCAATAAATTTCCAGATCATTCCTCATGATTATTTTTTAGCTTTAATGTACTTAACATGTTTTTTTTAATATATTTCCTGATCTTTCCTTCAATACTTAAACAACCGGAATTCATTATAGTAAAATGTTAATGTATTTTGTTAAAGTCGGAGTCGGAGTCGGTCAATTTAGATCAGACTCCACAGCCCTGATTTCAACAAAGTTCTATGAAGTTCTCTGAACTTCTATAAAATTTGCTGAAGTCCTATAAAATTACCTGCATTTCTACGGAGCTCATTGAATTTCTACGAAGTTCGCTGTATTTTTACAAAGTTTGCTGAGCATTTGCAATGTTAGCTGAACTCTTATAAAAATTGCTGCACTTCTATAAAATTACCTAAAGGTCTATAAAGTTCCTTGGTGTTCAATAAATTTTCCCTGCACTTCTCAGAAGTTCTTTTAACTTTAACGAATTGCCCTTGACTTATACAAAATTCTATTGACTCAGTTTTACAAATCTGTTCTTTGTCTTGGTTTTATTTCTCTTCCCTTGTTCCCTCATCCAGTTGCTTTTCGGACTGCTTTGAGCCTTTCGCTTGCGGCATAAAGTTATGCGGTACCTGACAGTCTTGCATAAGAAGCATTTATTCTTATTTCCCTTCCCATTGAAGAAATTAAGCGAGGAGAGAATCTTCTACATGTCGCGGCCAAATCTACTGGAAATTTCTAACGGACGAGATCGAACCTATTAACAAGTATCAATTATAAAAACAAATTTGCGATGGTGAAATTTTACGAAAATTGATACACAATTTAGGAAAACGAAGAAAAAACGATGAATCTAATACCAATGCCTCAACCACCACTGTACAGATTTCGAGAGATTATTGAATGAGATCATAAACATCACGATTTGCTTAAACTATACTTCCCACCACATTCAGCTCCTCCTGCACCGTAAGTCCACAAGACAATCACAATTCCTTGGATGGGTTCCTTTTCGTTTTGATTGGAATCCACTATGCTTACCCGACTAGATTCCTTCTTATATTTACGATAAAAACATAATGTCTAACCATTACAAAAGTAAGTATTTACGAGTATTCTTTTATCCTTTTTTGGTAGCGTTTATAGTTTGATTTGTTCTGTACTTGTGTGAGTTAGTATAAGTTAAATAATACAGGCTAGTATGGGGCTGCTCAAACACAGTGTTTCCATTGAGCATCGGAAAAGCTTACTCTATGAACAGACATTTTAACCGTTTTCTCAAATCCGAATCTCTCGGCAACGCAAGGGCCCACTTTCTGAGCCCAGATAGCATCACGGAACTGACAACTAAAAGCGCTCCCAGAACCGAGTACACGTTGGGGGTCTCTTTGAAGAACATGATTTGCCAAATGAAGGCAAATACAATGTCCGCCGAACGAGCAATTGCCACAGGGCCAGCCTGCTCGTATTGCAACGCCAGGGTAAGTAAAATTTGGCCCCCAAAACTGAACAGTGCCAACGCTATCACCAGCAACCGATCGGATCCGCACAAAGGCCAACAGATTGCCCCCAGATAGTAGCAAACAATGAGTGTATAAACCAATGCAAACGCTCCAAAGTTAGTCATAATCACGGAAAAGTGCAGTCCCTTAAGTGCTCGCAATAAAACGTACGCATTGGCACCGAACAGTGTGGACGAAAGGGCCGCCACAGGACCCCACACATCGTAGTTGGTTTCAATGACCTGTTCGTCGACCAGGCTGGTTGAATCATCGTCGAAAAAGAACGGTGGCCTGGTTATCAGCACTACTCCAACCAATGTTAGCAGTATCGTTATCACATTGAACATTCCGCAGGCTTCCCGGAGGAACAACCTCGCAAATATAGCTACGAAAACCGGTGTGGAAAATATGATTACCGAAGCGTCTGCCAGCGGCATATGACGAAAGGCGTAGAAGCTCAGCATCAGCCCAGTCGTTCCGACAAAACATCGTAGTATCAAAATGATTCGCTTACCTCGTGGGAAAAAGCTCTCCTCCTTGTAGAGGGCGATCGGAATCGACGGCAGCAGGACACCGATGAATCTAAAAGCAAAAACTGTGATTCAACATCGTCCACACCTTCCTTAATCAGACTTACCTGAAAGTGGCCAATTCAATCGGATTGATATCGACCAATCCTTTAACAATCACCGAACAAAGCGAGAAAAAGAGCGACGAAACGGTGGCCAAAATTATTCCCAAGTAAGGACACGAGCACTGAAGCCAACTAAGTGATCGATGTCGGACGCCTCCCTGAAGCACTCCACCCACCAACTGCTGTAGCTCCAGGTGTTCCGGCATGATTTTCTATTTCAATTTGCAGTTCGATCAAAAGAAACTTAGCTGTCCTCGCCAGTGGCAATTACTCAACTTCTTCAATGCACTTCAGGCTACAGCAAGGCTAGGAGATTTCCTGGGAGTGGCTGAAAATGGGATGATGAAATGCAACTGATGGATTAATTTCATTTGTGGAGAAATTGCAAGCAACAAGTTTGTCCTCGTTCGGATCGTTGGTCAGCGAAATAATTGGGTCTTTTAATTATTTCTATCCATTTAACCCTTTAAAGTCCGACAGACTTTTGACCGCTTTTAGCCTCTCTTACAAATACTCCGTACAGCATGATTCTAATGGAGACGCATTATACTTTTTGAAAATTTCCATTCCTTCGAGAAATTTTTCCGGAAAGTTCTATAATCAGGTACCGATTTTTGCAACATCAGATCAAAAAGGGTTAATTTAATTGCACCACTGAATTTCACAAATGGCTCAAAAAAATCATAAATTCCTACAAGCCTGCACCACATTTAGGCATTTTCCTCGTCAAGGCAGTTTAAAACTGAACCGTAAGTAATAATTAACCCTCACAATTGCAAAATAACTCGATAATTAACACCGAACATTAGCTACCTTACTCTATCCAGAGCCACTTACTTCCTCTTGGGACGCATCCTCTTTAGTGGGTTGGTGGGTGGTGGTGACTAGCTAGTTTTCCCAGCACCAATATTCCTACTCTACTCAGCTCTACTCTACTCCGTGGAAGTACAACAATAATGGAAAACGGCTCCAGCTAACTTTTACCAGCTTTTGATCGTGATAAAGATACAGTCGAAGCGATTTTCAGCCATACTATTGCTGGCAGACGATTTTCCGCACAAATTTTCCAACTTGGTCCTGTTTCGATTTTCCACACCTGACGTTTCTAGTGCTTGCGTGTGTGGTAGCGAAACGAATGATAATTGATGATGATGATTAATGATAGCGATGTTAATGCGTGTCCATGCAGCAAAATAGAAAAATACACGGAGATGAAAAATCAAAATTAAGTACTTTCCCTCAATTCAATACAAGCGTTTATACAAAAAGTCTTTCGTTTCGAGCCTCTTAGGTTTCGAGATGCGCAATATGGCCCCAGGTGTTCAGCCAAATTTGAGTAAATCGCGTATAGTAGTTTCAATTTAACACCAGCAAAAAAAATTACCTACTCTTAAGTATATTCTACCCAAAATTAAGTTTAAGTCACGTAAATTTGAGAATATGCAATTTACTCCAAATTAACTTATTGGGTATATCGTTCTCGTTCCTTTTTTGACAACAATAAAGAGTGCAAGTGAGAGGCTGAACTCAATTTTAAGTTAAAAGAACTCAAATTTTAAGTAGTATTTTTTCTCCGTGTTGGCAGGATCATGGCTATGTCAATCATACAAGGTCTGGAACAACAGGCAGCTTGTTGTTGTTGTTAGAAGCAAAAATGTTGTAAACATTGCTAAACAAGCGAATGACGATGTCACGGCAGCACAACATTCCATACTGCGAATGGCAGACGTGTCGTCACAGAAAACAGCTGTTTCGTGTAAAAAGATAAACATTGCGATGAAATACGAACACCACTAAACATTTCCATATTTCACTAATACCAATAAGCCGGTTGGGGATGGTCCATTAATTATTTCACGCAAAATTGGCCCATTTTCAACCCCCCCTCCCCCTTTGTCACATTTTTTGTATGGATCTATTTTTTTTTTGTATGGCTCGTCACAGTTTCCAAAACCTCCCCCCCCCCTAAAAGTGTGACATAATTAATGGACGAACCATTGGGCCAGACATTGTATAATTGACATCGGGATCATGGTGGGTATATACCAACTTTTTTGCTGGATTTGTTCGGTAAAATGTAATTTTTACTGAATGCTTTGTAAGACATATTATTTTACAAATTTTCCGCAATCTAAACTGCTGAATTTCCGTAATTTACATACATTTACCTAAAATTGTAAATAAAATTTGCGGATCGAAACTGTAAAAGGCTACTGCGATTTCGCAATTCTGTAAAAATTGTGACGAGTATACTGTAAAAATAATCTTTTACAAAATCAAACAGCAATAAAGTACCGAATTATGTAAAAGTTAGTGAACAGATTTTCGTACTGTCAAACTCAATATTAGCTGCCATTTCGATGTTGAGTGTCCTTCGGTTAACGACGTGTTCTGGGTATCATCCAAACCATTTGTGGAATAGTTCAATGATTTGGGTTATCGTTCGTTTATGGTTATTTTTTATTAGGGAAGTACTTTACTTTTCGATAGATTCTGTGCAATTTATGCATAAAATATAATTAGTTTTTCATTTCTGGGCCAATTTCTTTCAGACGCCATGGACGTTCCCTAATAAAAATTGTATGGTTAATTTGCTTAACGACGTGTTCTGGGTATCATCCAAACCATTTGTGGAATAGTTCAATGATTTGGGTTATCGTTCGTTTATGGTTATTTTTTATTAGGGTTATGCAACTCAATGTCCTCCTCTACCGCCGAAACTGCATTTTAGAACGGTTCGCTACTTAGTTGATAGCCTCGTCCGGGTTCTTTACTGATTTTTTTTTATAATTTTCTGTACAAACTCAAGATGAAAATGCATCTTCCAAAAAAATATATGGTTAAAAGGAATGAATCTTTTGGTTTGATGAAAGAAAGAAACAGTTAATCAATCAATAAAAATTACAATGTTTTTTTTTTATTTATTCTGAAAATAAAGTACAGTCGATTCGGTAAAAATTATACTGAACGCTATATGGTAAACTTTACCGATCTTTCAGTAAAATTTACAGTCCAGGTCAATAAATTTTGACAGGCCACAAGCGAAGAAAATTTACAGAACGGATTGTAAATTAAAAAATTACCGAATGGATTACCGAATGTTCAGCTGTTCCATATTTGGTAAAAAATTACAGTATACTGTAAAAAAATCTTAGTGTGACATGGTGATACAGCTTTGTCACTATAGAGCTTTTTGACGTTTAATCGTCTTTTTCCCCACATACAGTGAGCGAGTCGCCAGAAGCTACATCATCGGATAGGGACAACGGGGCAACTATCATCTTTCCGAAAGTGGTATTGGTTTGCGTGGGCGTACTTTGGTTCACGTGTAAAGGGCCTTAGAAAGTTTGTTTACAAATGCTTTTGTGCCGTTATCAAATGTTATGCCTGAGTTGATTTTGTTTAGAAGGATTCTGTGTAATAAATTTTACTTTTTCAGGATAAACGACACATATTAGTGCAATGCGCCTGCTTACTGGAAGATTGCCATTGGGCGGAAGAGCACACGGAGCTGTTGCTAAGGGTTAGCCGGGTGGTGCTCAAGGCGATATACGATGCACATACAGGCAAACGGATCAGCAAAAGTTTATTTTGTCTGGATTGGATGTGATCTGCTCCACCACAATTCGATTGTTGCGGCATTGGTCTGAGTCTGACGAGTTTGCGATCCGGGCGAAAGCAGTAGGGATCTACAACGATGTGTTCTATAACTCAACGGTGCTGCTGTATCGACTGTTCAGTGTGTATCAGAAACTTTTCGTATCAGTGATATATAGAGAAGTTTAGCGAGATGGAAATGGAAGAATTATTCCACAAAGTTTGCCTAATGGAAATAATTCTTAGCTTGGGTGAGGCTTCCAAGCAGTACATACAATTAGTGGAGATTCTTAGTAGGGTTAACTACCCCCTTTCCACCCTATTAAGCACAACACGCACTCAGTCTCTCTTAATCCAGCACAGTATAGCATCAAACTAAATGTTATTATTATTACTGATGACCCCCTTTCCACCCTATTAAGCACAACACGCACTCAGTCTTTCTTAATCCAGCACAGTATAGCATCAAACTAAATGTTATTATTACTGATGACTTCCAAATTTATTTACCTTTCTGTACGTACCGTAAGATTTAATAAAGAGAAACCAATCGTTGAGATATTGTCAAAAGTCTAACACTGCTTCTTGATGCCAAACTCGGTCTACGGATTCTAAACTCGGCCTAACGCATTGAAACGCCAATGAATTCACTTCGGCCTATCGGATGAAGATAAAAATTGATTCGGTCGGAGCGCTTCTTTTGTTGTTGGGAATAATGGGTGCAAACCTTCATACCACGCGTTCTCATTGACTTCGTTCGGTAGCTTATTAACTAAAGTATCGTACCAAACCCATAATTTACTTGTTAACTCTGAAATCATGGATTTATTTGATGTTTTCTGCTCGATAGGCCCAAAATGGGCGATTAGACCGAAGTAGTATTCTACCCTATTTTTGAAAGAATAGAATCTAGAATAGAATAGCCAACGGCAAGTTCCGTGTGGATTTTGAGGAAGTATCTCAACTTTTAAAACAGCTCTGTTCTGGATATGAAAACACTGAAATTCCTATCAGAGAAATTCAAAATCCTCAGTGTGAATTCCCCTCCGGATCAGCCTTTGGTAGAAATCGTTATATTCATCACACTTCAACCAACAATCAATACGAAACTAACGATTTTAAATTGGCTCACCACTTTAGTAGTCTATTGGTCCCAAGCAAACGATTAACGTACCCTATTCTAGTTGAAATTCTATTACTACACTATGTTTGTTTTGATTCGCTATGAAAGTTTGACAGATAACATCAGGGGTGTGTGGATTCATGCAGAACATGCAGGGGTGAGTGAAATAGCTTGGGACTGCTTGGGACCGTTGTTCTGGTACTGAGTGAGCCAAAAAAAATAATGATTTTCTTCGGGACCCAGTGGTCTTAGAGTTACCTCTATGCTTCAACTGCGGATACATTTGGATCAAATTAAGCAGCAGGCTTCGGAGGTAGCCGAGTCGATCATTGAATTGTGCAAATGTTGGTCAAATTCAGTTAATACTGCCCTTGGAATCAAGCCCATATTTGCTCCCGCTGTGGAAGCTCCAGTTGGAATTTTGTGGATTACATTTCAACGATAGTTATAAACTTGGCGATGACCATGTTCAAGGCCGGGCAGGAAATCAGTCAAGAACTGGTCGGATTGGTCAATGGATTTCTGAAGCATAAAATGCTAACTCTGGACGATTTGGGATGCGAAAAGAAGCAATCGCTGCTGGACTCCGGATTGCGATTTTTGGTCAATAGGATACAAAGGGATTGGTGAGGCAGAAGGAAACAAGTCAGCTCTTTCATTATCACGACGTTCTTATGCATAATATAGTGTGACGTAACGTTGGATCATGTGTAAGAACACCATGAGAACAAAAGAGACGACTACATTCCTTCTGCCGCACCTATAGTAATACCATTGACAGACATACAAATCAGTACCGTTGTACTCCTTTAATCGAGTACCTCAAAAGGTACAATTTGAGGTACAAGCTTAAAGAAATACAACGGTAGTACAACAGTGTACTTTGTATGTCTGTACAAGGTATAACGCACACGGCTCCCGCACTGACTGTTCCTTACTTTCTCACTCTAATCAAAATTTCCTTCGATGAGTGAGAAAACAGCACCCCGTCAATGCGAGTTGCCAGATCATTGCACACAAAACCAACTTGAATTAATTCAAAACAAAAATACTAGCGAACCTGGTGGTGAGGGGCGGAAGGTGGACTAAAATTCAATTACAGAGAACCACATTATTTTAATTAATTTTGTTGGAGTAAATCGGTAACGCAGTGTGCTGATCACCTCCTTGGAGACCGAACGTCACCCCTAGCAACCTAAGTTTTCTTAAATAAACAACGGTGAAAAACTATTCATTCCTGTTCAAGACTCCACTCAAGCTAGTCGTTAAATAAAATCCATTCTACTTTCAAACTTTGCTGTTCCGGTTCTTTCTAACAATCAAGAGGTTATGGGCGACTCACGCAAGGATTTGGTCCACGG